AGATCAATCTGGTTTTCGTACACGCTTCAGTACAACTTCCATTTTAGCAGTCACAGTGGATGACTGTAACTTCTCTAAGGCTTTTGATACGCTGGATCACGATCTACTATGTGCTAAATTGCAGTACTATGGTTTTGATTTAACTACGACTAATTTTTTTAGATCATATCTCTCCAATCGTTATCGACAGGTTGTGCTTGAATCAGAAAAATCTGAATTAGCCTTAATTACATCGGGTGTGTCTCAGGGATCGATCTTAGGACCCATCTTATTTATTATATATACTGCCCAATTGCTAAGCATGCCTTCATCAAGTAAAAAAAGAGCGTTTGCTGACGATACACAACTTTTGCTTCATTTTCAGCCTTCCCTAGTTGAGGATGCGTGTAATGATATAAATAAAGATCTTGTAAATATGGTTAAAGCTGCGTCTTCAATCAATTTAAAACTTAATGCTGATAAATGCAAACTAATGTGCTTTGCTCCTAGAAACTCCGAATGGCTATTGCTAATAATATAGATATTAATATTAGAATTGGAAATAAGAAGCTGCCTGTTTTGCAATCTGTAAAGAACTTAGGTCTCTTTATTGATGATGATTTTAAATTTAAATCTCATGTTTCGAACGTCATAAAAAATATTATTTGGCGCTAAAAATGCTTTATTCCAATTTTTTAATTTTGAACTTCAAACTCAGGAAAAGATTGTGTGTTTTTTACGTGTAGAATGTGAAGTTGTTTTCGGCTTCTCAGGTGTTTTTTTTTCGATTTTTTGAAAAAATCTTCTTCGTCTTCTGTTTTATATTTTTAAAAGAGTTTGACAGAATCTTAGGAGCTCCTAGTGTTTTTTTTTAACTGAAAGAACCTTGAGAGCCTCTCGTGTATTGTTTTATTCTTGAAAGTATAAAAAATTCTCGAGATTCTTCTATTTAGAATTCTTTCAAAGGAAAGAGTTTGAAAGTATTTTGGAGGCTTTTGGTGCTTTATTTTTGAAAGAATTTAAAAATATTAGGTACCGCTGGTGACTGTTTTATATGGAATGTGAAGAAGTTATGGGTATCTCGTGTTTTTTTTTCCGAATTTAAAAAATTGTATTATATACTTAAAAAAGCTTAAAAGAATCTTAGAAACTCCAAGTGTTTTTTTTTTAGTACAGAGAAACCTTGAGGGCCCTTAGTGTGGTGTTTTAATCTTGAAAATATAAAAACACCCTCGAGGATTTTTCTTTCAAAAGAAATAGTTTGAAAGAATCTTGGAGGACATTGATGTTTTATTTTAGAAAGAATTTGAAAATTTTGGGTACCCTTAGTGTCTTTTACGAATAGAATGTGAAGATGTTTTGGGTTTCTCAGGTGGTTTTTTTTTTCGATTTTTTGAAAGAACCTTGAGGGCCTCTCGTGTGGTGTTTTATTCTTGAAAGTATAAAAATTTCTCGAGATCATTCTATTTAGAATTCTTTCAAAGGAGAGAGTTTGAAAGAATTTTGGAGGCTTTTAGTGCTTTATTTTTGAAATAGTTTAAAAATAGTAGGCACCTCTGGTATCTTTTGCATATAGAATGTCAAGAAGTGATGGGTATCTCGTGTTTTCTGCGAATTTAAAAGATTCTTCCAGACCACTTGTATTATATTTTTAAAACGGTTTGAAAGAATCTTAGAAACCCGTAGTGATTTTTTTTTAAATACAAAGAAACCTTGAGGGCCCTTATTGTGGTGTGTTATTCTTGAAAATATAAAAAAATCTTCGAGAATTCTTCTATATAGAACTCTTTCAAAAGCAGGAGTTTGAGAGAATCTTTGTTGTGTCTTATTTAAGAAACAGTTTGAAAGAATCTTAGGATCCTCTAGTGTTTTTTTAAGGATCTGAAGGAATCTTGAGGCCTCCTGGTATCTTATTCTTGAACGAATAAAAAAATTCTTGTACATTATTCGATCTTGTCCTTGAAAGAATTTGAAAGAATCTTGAGGGGTCTTGGTGCTTTATTTTTGAAAGAGTTCTAAAATTTTAGATCTCACTAGTGAACTTTACGAAAAGAATGTGAAATTAGTTTTGGGCATTCCTGGTGTTTTATTTTTGAAAAAATTTGAAATAATCTTTGAGGACTTTGGTGTTTTATTTTTGAAAGAATTTGAGAATTTTGGGTACCTTTAATGTCTTCTACGTTTAGAATGTGAAGAAGTTTTAGGTATCTCAGTTGTTTCTTTTCCGATTTTTTGAAAGAATCTTCTAGGTCCTCTGTGTTATATTTTTATAAGAGTTTGAGAGAATCTCAGGAGCTTGTAGTGTTTTTTTTTAATTGAAAGAACCTTAAGGGTCTCTCGTGTGGTGTTTTATTTTTTAAAGTAGAAAAAATTCTCGAGATCGTTCTATTTAGAATTCTTTCAAAGGAGAGAGTTTGAAAGAATTTTGGAGGCTTTTAGTGCTTTATTTTTGAAATAGTTTAAAAATAGTAGGCACCTCTGCTATCTTTTGTATATAGAATGTCAAGAAGTGATGGGTATCTCGTGTTTTCTGCGAATTTAAAAGATTCTTCCGGACCACTTGTATTATATTTTTAAAACGGTTTGAAAGAATCTTAGAAACCCGTAGTGATTTTTTTTTAAATACAAAGAAACCTTGAGGGCCCTTATTGTGGTGTGTTATTCTTGAAAATATAAAAAAATCCTCGAGAATTCTTCTATATAGAACTCTTTCAAAAGAAGGAGTTTGAGAGAATCTTTGTTTGTCTTATTTAAGAAACAGTTTGAAAGAATCTTAGGATCCTCTAGTGTTTTTTTAAGGATCTGAAGGAATCTTGAGGCCTCCTGGTATCTTATTCTTGAACGAATAAAAAAATTGTTGTACATTATTCGATCTTGTCGTTGAAAGAATTTGAAAGAATCTTGAGGGGTCTTGGTGCTTTATTTTTGAAAGAGTTCTAAAATTTTAGATCTCACTAGTGAATTTTACGAAAAGAATGTGAAATTAGTTTTGGGAATTCCTGGTGTTTTATTTTTGAAAAAATTTGAAATAATCTTTGAGGACTTTGGTGTTTTATTTTTGAAAGAATTTGAGAATTTTGGGTACCTTCAATGTCTTCTACGTTTAGAATGTGAAGAAGTTTTAGGTATCTCAGTTGTTTCTTTTCCGATTTTTTGAAAGAATCTTCTAGGTCCTCTGTGTTATATTTTTATAAGAGTTTGAGAGAATCTCAGGAGCTTGTAGTGTTTTTTTTAATTGAAAGAACCTTGAGGGTCTCTCGTGTGATGTTTTATTTTTTAAAGTAGAAAAAATTCTCGAGATCGTTCTATTTAGAATTCTTTCACAGGAGAGAATTTGAAAGAATTTTGAAGGCTGTTGGTGCTGCATTTTTGAAAGAATTTAAATATAGTAGGTACCTCTGGTATCTTTTGCATATAGAATGTCAAAAAGTGATGGGTGTCTCGTGTTTTTTGCGAATTTAAAAGATTCTTCGGACCACTTGTATTATATTTTTAAAACGGTTTGAAAGAATCTTAGAAACCCGTAGTGATTTTTTTTTAAATGCAAAGAAACCTTGAGCGCCCTTATTGTGGTGTGTTATTCTTGAAAATATAAAAAAATCCTCGAGAATTCTTCTATATAGTACTCTTTCAAAAGAAGGAATGTTGTATCTTATTTAAGAAACAGTTTGAAAGAATCTTAGGATCCTCTAGTGTTTTTTTAAGGATCTGAAGGAATCTTGAGGCCTCCTGGTATCTTATTCTTGAACGAATAAAAAAATTTTTGTACATTATTCGATCTTGTCGTTGAAAGAATTTGAAAGAATCTTGAGGGGTCTTGGTGCTTTATTTTTGAAAGATTTCTAAAATTTTAGATCTCACTAGTGAATTTTACGAAAAAAATGTGAAATAGTTTTGGGAATTCCTGGTGTTTTATTTTTGAAAAAGTTTGAAATAATTTTCGGAGTTCCACGTGTCATATATTTTAAAGGATTTTAAAAATTCCAAGGTGTCTTTGTGCCTTGTTTAAGAAACAGTTTAAAAGAATCTTAGGAGCCTCTAGTTTCTTTTTTGTTTTTCCAAGAATCTGAAGGAATCTTGAGGGCTCCTGGTATCTCAAGAATTCTTAAAAAAAAATCCACGAGATTCTTTTATTTTGTCTTTGAAAGAGTTTGAAAGAACCTTGGATAGAATAGAATGTGAAATAGTTTTACGGACCCTAAAGTTTTATTTTTGAGAGAGCATGAAAAAATCTTCGGGATTCCCGAGGTCATATTTTTGAAAGAATCTGGAAAATTTTGAGGAAGTCTTGTGCCTTCTCTAAGAAATAATTTGAAACAATCTTAGGAGCCTCTAATGCGTTTTTTAGCAGAATCTTAAGGAATCTTGAGGAGTCCTGGTATCTTAATCTTGAAAGAATTTTAAAAAATCGGGAATTCTTCTATTTTGTCTTTAAAAGGGTTAAAAGGGTCACTATTGAATTTTATGTGGAATGTGAAATTCTCTAGGTCAAATTTTTGGAAGAATATTATATACATTGTTGAAAGAAAAAAAAAATTACAATAGTGAAGAATTTGAAAACATTTTCAAGTTGGAATAACATTTGTTTATCTATCTCCGGCCATAATTTCAGCGTGACTTGGAAATTTCAGTTCTTGAAAAAAATACTAAAAATGTTAATAAAGGTCAGCTTCGTCCTGTATAAATTTATGCTGAAAGTGTATGCAACAATTTAATATTACCAATTTGCAATGTTTGAAAATGAGGCGTAGGCGGCATTAAAGGTCTAAATATACACAAATTGTTCGCAAATATGTAATCCCAATGCCTCAATTATGTGCAGCATCCCACTGAAAATTCCATAATTTATTAGCTCCTCGTTTCTGTTGAACGAAAACATAAAATCATGCACAGTTTATTTATCCGTCAATGCACTACCAAACAATTTAAAAATACCATTATCGACCATATTGCATTAGTAGACAAAACTTTAACACGACGTCATCGATTCCTCGCCACAGCTAACTTGTTTCTCGTTCTAGTTGCCGTCGTCGTGGCCTTCTTCATCTGCTGGGCCCCTTTCCACGCCCAGCGCCTCCTCGCCATCTACGGTCAACACACGTCGGCCAACATGATCCGGGCCTTCCAAGTCCTCACTTACGTCAGCGGGGTGTTCTACTATCTTTCAACCACCGTCAACCCGCTCCTGTATCACATAATGTCGCATAAATTTCGGGAGGCTTTTAAGGTGAGCGACGCACTTTGAATTTTTATTCTCAAAGAGTAAACAGCAAAAAAATTGAAATTTTCCGCAAGGGTTGACGACAAAGTGATGCAGTAGTTGATGAACCGAGTCGAGTAATCAGGGGTGATTAAACTAATTAATTTTGACGGGTGAATGGAGAGGGCTGGATTTGACAGTGAAGGGACGCTTCAGCCGTATTGTTTGTTGTAAATCGTCGCTAAAGAGCGGATAAAAAAAACAAAATAAGCTTTAAGATAGGATGAAAACTGGCGCTTTAGGGAAGTTTAAGTCGGTTTACTTTGAGATCTACATTTATTTTATTATTCTACATAATCGTTTTTAAACATCTCAAAAATTCTCCAACATATATTATTATTGTATATATTTAACATTTTATTTTCGCTATATTTTCGGAATCAGTGCGTCGAAGTCTATATCCCTAATTTTTTTGGGAATTTTTCGACAACTGTTTCAAAAGCAAAATTTTTCAATATCGCGCTTTCATGAAAATTTCGCCTATTTTCAACCATTTTCAAAACACAACGAAATACATTTTCTCATTGATTTGTACCTCGAGAAGTTACTTTCGGTCCAGTTTCTTCAACAACTTGTACCATTGTTCCAGAGTAACCATAATTGAATTGAGGGTATTTTTTAGGATTTTTCAAAAAAATAGATTTCAAACCAAATATTTCCTAAATGTTCCCTAGGGATTTTAAATGCGCTGTATTTTTTTAATTACTGCGTCGAAATCTACATCTGAATTTTCTAAAAATTTTCCGACAGCTTTTTCAAAAGCACAATTTTTCAATATCGCGCTTTCATGAAAATTTCGCCCATTTTTAACCATTTTCAAAACACAACGAAATACATTTTCTCATTGATTTGTACCTCGAGAACTTACTTTCGGTCCAGTTTCTTCGACAACTTGTACCATTGTTCCAGAGTAACCAATTGAATTGAGGGCATTTTGTAGGATTTTTCAAAAAAATAGATTTCAAACCAAATACGAGTATTTCCTAAATGTTGCCTAGGGACTTTAAATGCGCTATATTTTGTAAATTTTTCGGCAATATTTTCAAAAACAAAATTTTTCAAAATCGTGCTTTTTTGAAAATTTTGTCCCTTTTTTGACCATTTCCGAAATTTAGCCAAAGACATTTTCTTATAGATTTTGACCTCTAAAAGATACTCTCGGCCCATTTCTTTAATAACTTCCACCATTTTTACAGAATCGCCAATTGAAATATGACAATTTTTAACATTTTTCAAAAAAACTTGGATTTCAACCCGAATATTTCTAAAATCTTGCCCTGCAACAATAAACATGCTATGTTTTTGAAATCAGCGCCCCGAAATCTACAACCCTAAAGTTTTTGGAATTTTTTCGGAGTTTTCTAAAAGTAATATTTTTCAGAATGAATATTTGATCCATTTTTGACCACTTCCGAAATTGATTTCCCATTTGTTTCCAAACATATTTTCAAAATCGCCAGTTGTAATATGTACATTTTTAGATATATTCAAAAAATCGGATTTCAAACAGTACCTACATTTCTAAAATCTTACCCCGGAACCATAAACACGCTGAATTTTTGAAATCAGGGAGTCGAAATCTACGACCCTGAATTTTTTGGGATATTTTTGGCAATTTTTTCAAAAGCAAAATTTCTCCACTTTTGAATTTCATTGGTTCATTTTATTTAATGTGAGATGAAGATTGAATTTAATTTTTCAAGCGTTCGAATCTACGATAAAAAAGACTTCAGATGGCCCCGCCCACCCACCTCATTTTTTTCCGATCACCCATTTTATTGGACGAAAATTGTATTTCAAATTGATAAATAGTGGAAGTTAAACAAAAAAGGTAAAACTAATCCCACCCACCTCCAGTTTTGAAATTCATTGGTCTATTTTATTGGACGAAAAGTGGACTTTATATTGATAACTAAAAATCTTTTGAATTTCATTCGTTTATTTTATTTACTGTGAGATGAAGATTGAATGTAATTTGTCAAGTGTTCGAATATACGATAAAAAATATTTCATATGGCCCCGTCCACCCACCCCTTTTTCTTCTCGATCACTCATTTTTGGACGAAAATTGTATTTTAAATTGATAAATAGTGAAAGTTAAACAAAAAAGAAAAAACTAACCCCACCCACATCCAGTTTTGAAGTTCATTGGCTTATTTTATTTAGCGTGAGATGAAGATTGAATTTAATTTGTCAAGTGTTTGAACCTACGAACATAAATACTTAATATAGCACCGCCCAACCACCCCGTTTTCTTCTCGATCACTCATTTCATTGGACGAAAAGTGGATTTTATATTGATAACTAAAAAACTTTTAAATTTCATTGCTTTATTATATTTACTGTGAGATGAAGGTTGAATTTAATTGGTCAAGTGTTCGAAACTACGATAAAAAATACTTCATATGAATCCGCCCACCCACCCCGTGTTCTTCCCGATCACCCATTTTATTGAACGAAAAGTGGATCTACATCGGTAAATAGAGGAATCTAAACAAAAAAGTAAAACTAATCCCACCCACCTCCACTTTTGAATTTCATTGGCTTATTTTATTGGACGAAAAATGGTTTTTATATTGATAACCATTGGAATCTAAACAAAAAAGAAAAACTAATCCCACCCACCTAAACTTTTTAATTTCATTGGTTTATTTTATTTACTGTGTGAAGTAGAATGAATTTAATTTGTCAACTGTTCGAAACTACCATAAACAATACTTCATATGGCCCCGCCCACCCACCCCGTTTTCTTCAGGACCACCCATTTTATTGGACGAAAAGTGGATTTTATATTGAAAAATAGTGGAATCTAAACAAAAAAGCTAAAACTAATCCCACCCACCTCCACTTTTGAAGTTCATTGTATTATTTTATTGGACGAAAAGTGGATTTTATATTGATAACTAAAAAAATTTTGAATTTCATTGGTTTATTTTATTTAGTGAGATATGAAGATTGAATTTAATTGGTCAAGTCTTCGAAACTACGATAAAAAATATTTCATATTGCCCCGCCCACCCGCCCCATGTTCTTCCCGATCGCCCATTTTATTGGACGAAAAGTGGATTTACATCGCTAAATAGTGGAATCTAAACAAAAAATAAAATTAATCCCACCCACCTCCAGTTTTGAATTCAATTGCCTTATTTTATTGGACGAAAAATGGTTTTACTATTGATAACCGTTCGAATCTAAACAAAAAAGTAAAACTAATAACACCCATCTGAACTTTTGAATTTCATTGGTTTATTTTATTTAGCGTGAGATGAAGATCGAATTTAATTTGTCAAGTGTTCGAATCTACGATAAAAAATACTTCATGTAGTCCCGCCTACCCACCCCGTTTTCTTCTCGATGACTCATTTTATTGGATGAAAATCGCGTTTTAAATTGATAAATTGTGGAAGTTAAACAAAAAAGGTAAAACTAATCCCTCCCACCTCCAGTTTTAAATTTCATTGCTTTATTTTATTGGACGAAAAGTGGATTTTGTATTGATAACTAGTGGAATCTAAACAAAAAATAAAACTAATCCCACCCATCTAAACTTTCGAATTTCATTGGTTTATTTTATTGACCCTGAGATGAAGATTGAATTTAATTCGTCAAGTGTTCGTTCCCGCCCACCCACCCCGTTAGGGACCCCTTGTGTTTTGTATTTGAAGTAGTTTAAAAAAAATTTGGGTTATCTACATATTAAATTAAACTAAAAAACGACTAATTGTCACTAAGCCCCATTTCTCTCTTTCCAGGCCACCTTCAAGCAGTGCTTTCGCCGCGGCCACCACCGCACCCCCGGCGGAGGTAGGTGTTACTCGACATTATCGGGTCGCTCATCGCAAGTAAACAGTCATAGCAACACAGATTCTTACAGCCGGCAGAGCTCGCTGCGCTACCTCGATGCCGAGATGGCACGTCTACACGACTCTCGAAGGCCACTGGTTGTTTCCTTCCGAAGGAAAAAGCCTTCGCAAGTCCCGGCGCGCAGAGCGCACAAGCAAGTCACCATTTACGACTACAGCGACGTGCAGGAGGCGCTCACCAACGTGAGCGAGGACGTGGTGGAGGTGCACAGCCTGCAGCCGACGCACATCTGCCCGCTGAACGCCGGCCGGCTGGAGGCGAGGGCGGGCTCGCTGAACTGGGGCAGGGACAAAGGCGCGGCGGGCTTGGTCAAGTCGTGCACGATGCCGGAGATTGGCGGAGGCTGCCTGGTGGGGATGCCGCGGGTGGGGCGCAGCGAGAAGAGGGAGGATCTGACGAGAGTGGAGGAGTTCAGGATCGCGCTTTCAGTCAATTAAGTTTAGGAGTTAGGAGATATGATTGGCTGTGTTATGAATAAGAAATGAATTGGAGGTTTCCAGTTATGTAATAGTACTAACACTGGAGGCGTAAATGCTGTCATAAATTGTGTATTGATGGTGTTACTATTATTATTTTTTGCTCTGATATCGTGTTGTTAAATGTGGGTTTTTGACTAAGAGTTATTTATTCTAGAGTCTGTGTTTTTTGTTGTTGTTGTTGTTATATGATAGTTTGTGCAACGAAATGGAGTTTTCTATACACTTTCTACTCGATTGTTCGATTTCTTGGAAAATGGAGATATTTTAACAAGTTTTGTAATGTTTGTACCTGACTTTTGGATTCATGTGATTGTTATTATAATAAATGTTGTATGGAGAAATTATTTATTTTATTCTCTTCTACGTTTATTTGCAATATGGAATGGCATGCAACAAGCGGAAATTTTCACCTGTTGATCTACCGAGTTGAACAAGACTTCAGTAAAAAAAAGTGCTCTTTTTTTGTCTGCATTTAGCGCCATCTGTTGGCATTTTTCATCTTGTCAGTTGAAACTTCTAGAGAAATCTGTTTCATATCAAGAGTTAACCTGTAATTTCATAGTTTCCTTCTGAACTAAGTTGTGGCGCCATCTGCTGTACCGACATTGGTATCAGCACAGCCAGCTGTATTAATCCTGCCTGTTCATAAGTGTAGTTTGACTGTTCCCCGCAAGGTGCCACCCAACGGGCACATTTTTCCGGAGGAGTAAATAAATTTGACACTTTGAAATTCCCTGGTGTTTTTTTAAAAATGTGGAAAAATCTTGGGGACTTCTGGTATTCTGTTTTTTTGGACAGATTTGAAAGAATGTTTAGTCCACTAATAATACGCTTTTTCATATGAAGAAATCTTTTCATCTCTAGTTTTCTTTAATCTTAAAAATATGAAAGAATCTGAGGTCCCCGTTGTATTATTTTTGAAAGAGTTTGAAAGAATCTTCGTAACTTCTTGTGTCTTATTTTTGAAAGAATTTGAAATGATCTTGGGGCTTCTGGTATTCTGTTTTTTTGGACAGATTTGAAAAAATGTTTGGTTCACTAATAATACACTTTTTCATATAAAGAAATCTTGGCACCTCTAGTTTTCTTTAATTTTAAAATTATTAAAGAATCTTAGGTCCCCGTTGTATTATTTTTGAAAGAGTTTGAAAGAATCTTGGAGGCTTCTAGTCTTTTTTTTAAGAATACGAAAGAATCTTCCTAACCCCTTGTGTCTTATTTTTGAAAGAATTTGAAAAGATCTTGGGGCTTTTAGTGTGTTGTTTCTTGAAACACTTTGAAAGAATGCTGGGTCCCTTGGTATTTTTTTATTATGAAGAAATCTTAGAACCTCCAGTCCCTGTTTGTTTAATAATATGAAAACATCTTGCAGGACGCTCAAAATCAACAAAAAAATTAAGCTTTACAAGAAATGCAATTCAAAATTGACAATCATAAAGAATTTCTTCACCAAAGAGATAAAATACGGCAGATTTTCAGTTTTAAAATTGCCATATCGGGATACTTTGGAACGATATTTGGGGCGAGGTCAAGATATAACACAGTTAATCGAAGACAGATTAAGAATTCAAAAACTTCAACCTATTGAAAAAATCGCTAGCCTCATAATTGATGATATGGCCATAAAAGAAAAGATGTCTTACAATAGATCGGACGACAAATTTTATGGTTTAGGTACAATAAACGAAAATGGGCAAATTATTGGTAAAAAAACCAACATTAGCCAATAAAAAGCTATGTTATGTTATCCATGGGATGACCATTAAGGTGATGTTATCGGTTTAGTTTTCAGTGAATTTACAGTAGATTTTGTTTCACAAATACTAGACAACTAGTTGGAATCTGAACCCATTTTTTTTTTTACAATATCTTTGATATGCTATAAGTGTCCGGAACTTATAAAATTGGAGAAAAAATGACCTGTTTTGCTCTAATAAAATCGCAAATATGCTCAAAATCACACTAATATTAGGTCTCACTGTGCCGACCATAGTTATAAAATTCACATTAAAGTAAGTCATGGACATTCTTTGAAGTGTTTACTATGATATTTCAAAAAGAAAAAAAAATGTTCGATTTATAAAACTTCATAATTTTGGTTTAAAACTGATCATGTTTGAAGCTTTATTTTATCCGTTCCATTTGCTGTCTCTTACTGCGGTCTCTCTCGGATCGGGGTATAACACCCACCGAACGTTCTTGGACCGATGGGATAATTTATTACTTCCGACAACTTTTCGGTGACAAATTTAATCTTTGCATAAATTTACTTCAGTGTAGTTAGTGAACTCGTTGTGACCATTGAAATATATAAAGAGTAAATTTTGAAATGGGACGAAAGTCGAAGATTCCGCTTTCAAAGCCACGAAAAAGTCGAAAAAACTTTTATCAGAATTATTATGTCAAAAACCTACTAAAACTACAGACAAAAAATGCAGTTTAATCATCATTTGATTAGTTTTACTATTATTATGCTTTTATTTCCTAATTTCTGTACATATAAATATTATTGTTTTTTAGACCCGCCGCTGTTTACTTACATAAAGTGTAAGTCAATGTTACTAATAGAAATTTTATTATTGTTACTTTATATAATCACCAATCCTATTGCTTCTCGGCTTTTTGTCAAAGATCAAAGTGTATTACCTGAAAGAATTTTATTTTGTTGAATAAAAGATTACGATAAACCTAATAATTAGCCGGATAACCATTCAGTATACACAGGTAGTTTCTATACCTCTTTAGTTTGAACTTAGCCGATACTAACCAGATAGGGAACCAGTTATAATGGAAATATGTGAACCAAATAATTGAAGTACTTAGTTTTAAGTAAAACAATTGGGTATATTTATAAATACGCATAAATAAAAACGAAACAAATTATTGGTCTCTAGTTTATTTTATAATTTGCATTACATCGTGACATATAGGTACGTACTGATGCAGAAATTGGTGATTTTCTCGTTGCATTTCAGTATAGGGACACACTCAGTAGAACCATTTGGACACTTAAAATTGATTTTGTTTTACTTGCCACAAATCTTTTTAAGTGTTGCGAAAGTGATTATTTTGTGTCCGAAAAATAACTGCATTTATAATTATTCGGCTGAGTGCTTTTTTTGTTGTAAATCAATCAGTTTCCCAATTAGATTATAATTGCTTGGACTTACTATTTGTTGTCTTAATTTTTCGAAGTTCATTTTTGTACACATTCAGATTTTTATTTCTTATTAATTTCTTGTGATCATTTTTATAAATTCGTATATGAAAATTGAACTGTTGACGAACGAAAATCGAACAATAACACACGACAAGCGGGTGCCGAACTGTTACCAGAGATTATGGGTGTCACAAATTACACCCCAGCTTTCCTGAGTTTCAACCAGATTACCACTACTTCTCGTCTTTATTTTTCTACACGCAAACTTCTTGTGAAGACAATAACACGGCAAAATTAAAAATCCGACAGTTTTCTTTTAGCAAACATCCCCTTAAGTATACAATCCCGGCTGGTTATTTTTTCCATCGACAATTACCACAAGATGATTATTTCAATTTGACAATGAAAATTCTTAAACTTACGTGGATTTACTGTAATTAGAATCGTTACGGATAATCACAAATCCAACGTAGGTCTTTTTAAATTATTATCACCAAACAATATCCTGTCAACACAAATCCAGCATCCCATACAACCCAAGATTCCACTATTTTTAAGCTTTGATTATTGTCACATAATAAAAAATTTACGAAACAGTTTCCTGGACCATGACATGCATTCTAGTACTGGCATCATTTCTGCAAAATTTTTGAAAGAAACATACGATTTACAGAAAAATTTAATTATAAAACCATTAAGATGTTTGACAAGGAAACACGTATATCCAATCAATATGGAGAAGATGAATGTTCGTCGTGCTGTGGAACTTATTTCTCCAGCAGTTACGGCAGCGATCGAATACTTGAACAAATATGAGAATCCTAAATTTGTAGGTGCTGAAGAAACAGTAAAATTTATGCAAAAAATGTACAAGTTTTTCAAAATACACGACGTTAATGATACCACCCAACAAACACGGCAAGTCGATGAAAATATATATATTTTCCTTTTTTCTCATTGTACGTACCTAGTCGTTTTTTTAGAACAAGAAACTTAAAACATGTTTTAAATGGTAAATTCTTGTAGACAAATACGGATCTTGCAATTAAACCCCGCCCCTAGATCTCGATCTTTCATCACAATTGAGAATTGAGATTGGGGCGGGTATTGATGTGGCTTTATTTTTTTTCCTAGTATACATAGTATACTTTAAACAATACGATACTCATTAAAAACATGTTTTTAATTTCTCGTAGAGAAATAATGTTTTTGCAGTTAAGCTCTTTTCTCTTGGCTCACGACGAATAAAAAAATCATCACAATTGAGACCGGGTGGGTGGGCGGGGCTACATTTTACCTTTTTTTTCTTAGTATGTGCAGTTATTTCGACAAACAATCTTTCCATTTTATCAATTTCCCCAGGGTCCGTTACCTTGGCGCCACCAAGTTAATGAATTTTACTCAAAAGCTAGCAGCTCGTTGTTCCAACCTAGCACCAGCTAGCACCACCAATCAAAAGCTAGCATCATCTAATTATTGAAATAAAAGCCTTTTACTTTCAGGGGGGGCCAAGTTAACACTAGCCCCTGGACGTTATTTAATTCTCGTGTAAAGTTAGTCCGAGGTAGTTTAGACCTAGCACCAGCTAGCATCATTAATCTCATAGTTAGCACCACTCTGCAAATATTTAAAAAAAAATAAAAACCAAAAAAAAGTAGCCCCCATTTTTTTTTCTTTCATGATAAAAATCAGTAGGTTGATAGTCTAGAGCTAGCACTCGTTGGATCCATTAAAAAAAAGTGTATTTTTATTCAACAAAGCCATGTAATAAAGGGTTATTTTCGGGGGGACTAAGTTAACGCTAGCCCCCCAATATAATTTAAAGACAATGAAAAGCTAGCACCTAATAGTTTAAAGTTAGCGCCAACTAGCATCATTAGTCTTATAGCTGGCACCATTAAATAAACTAAATAAAATAATTGAAAAGCCCTGAAAAAATAACTCGCATCTATTTATAAAGCATAATTCCCAATCGTGGCCGGAAATAAACTATCTTTGAAAATAATTACATTACAATCATCCTTTACTTATAAAAAGTCATGTTTTCTGCATTGAACACAACATTAATATCTACATTATCTACATATTTAATTAAATTGCATCACCTGCGTTCAAATCGTTCTTCATTTATTTCAACGCAC